GACCTTCTACATGAGCAGACCCAAAACCCGATCTTTCAATGAAGAAAACAAAGTTAAGGTTTAGCCACGACCCAGGATACTTCAGATCTGTAAAACGCCACGTTCAGCTTCGCACATGATCAGCTTGTGAAACCATGCTGCCGCTACGAAAGCCCTCCACCGTCTCCAAGAATGGCGAAACACTAGCAGTCACTACCAGTAAAGTTTGTTTGACCAAACAAGATCAAACAGCAGCTTTGCTGTTTGCTTCCCCTCTTCCTCTTTAAGCTGAGGCACGAAAGCAACTCAATATGGCAGAGCAACACAAGGACCCTTGACTTGTTCGTTTCTACAGTTGAGCGCATGCACTTGTCTTGATCCTTTTTTGGTGCTGAGCACTTTATGTTGCTACCTTGCAACTTACAACTGCGAAGCACATCCTGAACCCGTCAACCCCAGGAACCCCCGATTAATTTAACTCCTGGGCCGGATTTGTCATAAAGTAAATGAAGCATTTCAAGCTCACAAGGGCCTGCAAGCAACAAAGGAACCATCAGGACAGCGCTTCTCCTGGCCAGGGCACCGCGATGGAACTGGGACTTCCTTGAGCATGCCCGCAGAGATCTTTAGCATTGGGCCCCTACTGAAAACATGCCTACATCAGTAGCTAGGTACGTTTCGTTGATCAAATCGTTACAAGCTAAAGCCTAAGATGTACACGTGTGGTGCGCTGAGGCTGTGGAGCTCGATGCTCCACCCACAGGTGGGCTTGAAACTCGGCCGCCACGAATGCTTTAAGTGAGGACGGGGTGTAAGGGGTTTGGGCTTATTTGGGATTGACCAATGAGAAGGGTCCTTAGGGTCCTAAAGGTTTTGAGGGTTCTTAGGGTTTTGAGGGTCCTAACGGTCAGATATGTCATGGGCTTCAGTTCAACTGCGGCATCAAGTGAGGATGGGGGAAAGCCCCGCATGCAACCTGTCAACAGCAAAAATTCCGAAACCCTTCTAGTATTCTAGCGCTTTCGGGTGGGGGGGGCGGGCACAAGGCCACGAGTACAGTCTGGCCATCAACCTGCCTAGCTGGATGAACCGCCATGCAGGGTATGACGATTGATTCGGAACAACATGTTACAGCCTACTTTGGGCCTGTAAAAGGTTTCGGATACAGGGTCGAAGGAGCTTCTAGGCAGGTTTTTCGCCTACGTGAACCCATCCTTGTCGTAATGCGGGCCATGCTCACACAGCTCCACGAGTCTACAGAGCTCTCACTGCACTCTGCTTGGGCAACAAACGCTAGGGCACCCTTTTTTGGAAGGTCCAAAAAGTGGATGAGAGTCGTGCGGGGGTACATATGGAAGTCCCGATTTAATTGTGATCCTCACTTGTGTGTTGAACAAAAGTTGGGCTGACACCCGTCGCAAATTTCTGAATCCCAACTTTGCGGTGGAAACACGGTGAAATGTGGTTCTAGGGATAAGGGCTGACATCGGCACCTGTTCCGGCAGAATGCTACCTACAAGCTCCCGGCCTTCTTTACGTTTTGGGATGCACGGTTTTGGGGCTGCCAAAAGTGGGGACTCTGGGTTTTGGATTTGATGAGTTTTATTTCCTGCGGCATATGTCCCATCGACACGGTGCAGGGGCATGTTGCTTTCGGAAAGAAAACTGGCATCGGCGCCACGTTTTGTTCCCTATTAATGCCCCTTAAACGAAACCATGTCCGCCATCACTGGGCTGCATGGACTGCATGCTTCTGGGATGTTCGAGCCCAAAAGCGGAAAGGAAAAAAGCTGTAACGAAACCCTATCCGGAAACTCTCGCATCTGAACTACACCCTAACCCTGTCTGAACCCCAATCCTTGAACGCTAAACCCTAAAGCCTGAAGCCAAAAGTCCCAAAGTGGCTTAAAACCCTGATGAACCCTGACCTTTGGGACTTTACAACAACCTTAAAGACATTGAAGCCCAAAGCCGTGAGCCGAATCCCTATTTATTTGGCGATCTGTTTCCGTTACGCCCGACCCGCTTGGTTTCTGCTACGGTGTTGAGGATGTTTTCTGTTGCACCCCTCAGTTGTTTCTGTTACGGTTTGGTGCCCAAAGTCTCCGTTACCCAGTTGGTCTTCGTTACGCCTGCCTTTCTTTTGCCAAGCACAAGGAAGGGCTAGTTAAAGAACGAGGCATGAAGAATGCCTCATGGGACTCCCGCGCATGAACCAAGCATTTTGGATGTGTTATTGCCAATAGATTCGAAAAAAACACATATCCAATATGCAAGTGGTCATCTTTGTATTCCTTCTCTTTTGCAAAACAAAACGGGCACTTCGTCGAAGGCTTACGGCTTGGCCCGCGCAACACTGACATCTTGCACATGACGCTGCGGCTTGGCATGCCCACAAAAAAACATGTCAGCATAAATTGAAGAACCTAAGGGGGTGGAGGGGACCCCCCCTCGCCTAATCGAGAAATGCCCCGCCACCTGGTGGGAGGGAGTGGGACGGGAGGGAAATAGTCATAGTAGAAAAGGGGTCCTAAGGAAGAGACTATCAAGCGTCGCCGTGTCTGCTTCATTTGCTGGGCTGTGATCATCACCTAATTCTTTGCTACTGTTTCGTTTTCATTTCTAGGGTCTAGGTTTCTTGTTGTGGTCTCCTTTTTGATTTTTTCAGCGTGTCTCATTCGTTTTGTCTGCGTTTGTCTCCTTGTTCGTTTTTTGCTTGACCCTCGTTCCGGTTTAGCTCATTTAAGTATGTGTCTTGTCTGTGTTGTTTTCCATTTTCGGGGTAGTAGATTTTAAACTTTTGGTTTCAGTAGGTTTTTTCGCTATTTTCGGTCTTTGCCGTAGGGTATAATTGCTTTAACATTTTTGGTTTTTGTTTAATTTTCTTGGCGTCGTTTAGTCTTATCACTCTCTCTATATCCAGCATTTCAAAACAGCGTTCTGTTGCGGCGTGGCCTCTGGCTGTTTCGTTGTTGGGGTAAGTCCTTCTTCCTGGATTTGGCCGGAACCCGTTTCAAAACGCGGCCCTGAGGGCTTAGGGCTGGCTTTTAGAAGGGTCAAAAGTGCGGAGTAACTAACATTCTGGAGGTCTACTCCTGTAAGAGCTGTTTGCCCATTTGGTCCTGTGGTACCACGTTGCCCTTTCTTCAGTCCGAAATGCTGCGCGTTCGTCGCAGTTTTTTTGTCCACCCCTTTGCAGTGACAATTTGCAGGGGTCTGTTCCTGATGCGCCGCCCACCAAAGGCTGTGGGGTTGATCAACGCACCGGCATGCAGATCAGAAAGGCTAACACTCTCACCATCATTCCACACCAGTGATTTCAAGGCCCGAAAGCGCACCAAGAAGGTTTCCCAATCAAAGCCATTCGGGTCTGGCTTGTCGTTGATGTCTGTAGTCCAACAACGCCAATCTTGCAGCTCCGGTTCATCAACGATAGCAAGGTGGATCCAAATATTTGGCAGCAAAAGTCGCCGCTTTCCGCTTGGGCTGTACTCCAGCTGAACTGGGGGCTGCATCCCTTCGGCGAAGGGGGCTTCGAAGCCTTCGAAGCCTTCGAAGCCGAAGGGTCGAAGGGGGGGGGGGTGAAGGTCTGAAGGCTTCGAAGGCTTGGAAGGTGAGGACGAAGGCTTCGAAGGCGAAGGCTTCGAAGGCTTCGAAGGGTGAGGACGAAGGGGCTTTGAAGGCTTCGAAGGTGAGGATGAAGGGAGCTTCGAAGGCTTCGAAGGCGAGGATGAAGGAGGCTTCGAAGGGTGAGAACAAAAGGGAGGGGGGCTTCGAAGGCTTCGAAGGGTGAGGACGAAGGGGGCTTCGAGGCTTCGAAGGTGAAGACGAAGGGGGCTTCGAAGGCTTGGAAGGTGAGAGACGGGGGCATCTCCAGAGTCTCACTTCTTTGAGTTTCGAAGAATGAGATCCAAAAATGAGATCCAAAAACAAAACAAGATTGGGGGGTGGAATTTAAAAGAAGTCCCAAAAGAAATACAAGCCTTCGAAGGACAAGAAATTGAGGGGATGGAATTTAGAACAATTCTCACTCTTCTCTTCTGCAGGCTTCGAAGGATAACAAGAAACTGAGGGGGGTGGAATTTGAATAATTCTCTTCTCTTCTCTTCTGATTCTCCAGGCCTTCGAAAGACAAGAAATTGGGGGTGGATAATTCTTCACTCTCTCTTCCACAGGTTCGAAGGGCCAACAAGCTGAGGGGGTGACTCTCCTTCTCTTCGATTCTTCTCTCTTTTTGGGGCCCTAGAAAGCTTGCTCCGGGCTTCGAAGAAGAATTCCATCCTTTCGTTCTTCTTTTCAAAGGGTGTGAAAACACAGCAGCAGCGCGCTGAACCCTCTTTTTCTCACGACTTGAGCCAAAGTCAAAAGCCGGAGGCTTCGTCAGTGAAACTCTTTACACACAGGTGAAAACTCTGCTCTGCCACGTGTTCTCCACAGCCACAAAACAAACTCAAACGTCAGTGGGAGTTCTCGGGACCTACCCAACTATACCTAAAGCAAGCAAAAACGTGCACAGTCACTTCTACAGCTTTCAGACACACATCCCTACAACTCAAGCACTTCAAAAGGCTTTCCCACTTAAAGCAGCACTCCCGTCGAGCCTCCAAGGCACAACTACGGAGTTCCTACAACTACACACACACAATTATGAGCCAGCATGCAGGACAACAAAGTTAACATGTCCTTAGACAGGAACTTTCGTCTGCACGCTGCGAGGCGTAGCCACCCGAAGGGGCTGAGGTTAGTGGGTGAAACATACAAGCTACAACTCTGCACAGTGAGACTACCGGTACTAGCCCTCACTTTCCTCAGACATTTGTCGAGGCTGCAATCCAGTCCCTCAGACCGTGGTCGAGGCCGAAATTCCCTCAGGTCATGCCGAGGCCGACTTCCCTCTCTGGCACCCCTCAGACCGAAGTCGAGGCCGAAACTCCTCAGGCAGCACGCCGAGGCGGTATTTTGATTCGGTTTGTTGGTGCCTCTCTGACCACTATCCATGTTTCTTGTCTGCTCTGCGCTGCTCACTCGTCAGCTTCGTCATACGGCATGCCCAACGTGATTCTCTGGATCTCTGTTGCCGGAACCGAATGCAGGGTTCCATCCCATCCTCGTTTTGCAATTCCGGCATCCAACAGGTGCTGGGCAAATGGCCCGACATTGCCTACGCACGCCATCCAAAGCGCGCTGGCCTTGCCGTCGTACGTTCTGACCAATCCACGTATGGTTGCCAGTAGCTCCGCATCATATTTCTCCAGGAGGCGTACGAGGCCGCATGATATCTTGTATCTCTCCTCCTGCAGCGTCGTCCATTCCGCCGTGTCAAAGAACATTGCCCGCGGTAGCGATCCTGACATTGGGTCGCGCCCAACGTTGCTCACCGTGATATCCGATAGAGCAACTCCTTGCATGGTCAGCCATGACGTTATAGCCACCAGGTAAAACAGGGACTGTCTGAGGACCCCGGCTTCATGGCGATGTTCCTGCCACCATGTGTTGAACAGCTCTGCCCTGCGGATGATACTTCCATAGAGGTAGTGGTGGCAGTAACCCTCCACCGCTTCGTCGAAAAGGACTCCAATCCATCCTGCCCACAGGGTCCTGGTGACCAGGGTGGGGAATTGTTCCCCATACCCTGCTTCGTTGCCAAAGCTCTGGGGTTCCATTGCTAGTTTCATGACCCATAGCCGATCCAGAGCATATCCTCGTCGAGTGCGCCCCGCACCTATAAAGGGAAGCACCCTAGGCTGTAAGCTTTGCCCTGTCGTTGGGTTGCGGACCAATTGGACCTCCCCAAGCCAATGGAGCGCTGTCCTTGGCCTTTGCTGGTTCTGCAATTTATGCACCAAAAGGTGCACAGGCTTGTCTTGCCCCATGGCTTGCTTTTTCTCCTTTCCCTCAGCTTCCTGCGAGGCCATATTGTGGGCACCCGGCCTTCCGCCAGCGTGACTGTACGAGGCTGGCTTGCCTCTTGCTCTTCATCGTCACCCTCAGCTTGAGGCGAGGCCGTACTGTCTTCTCCTCTCTCCCGTAAGCGTACCGGACCCACCGGAGATTCCGAAGCTCTCTCCTCTTCACTATCCCAAGGCTGCTCCAGGTGTCTGGCCTGTCGAAGCGGGGACCGTTCACGGGGCTGATCCTTCTGCTTGTTCTTGCTTTTGCCCTTGCCTTTGTCCGGCCGATTCCTGAACCAGGATGGCAGTCGGGACCCTTGTCTCCTCATCGTAGCATCCGACTTCCATTGCCGCATTGCTACAGGCCCGCCTTGTCCGGCGATGACGCAAGCACGCGGCACCGCGAGGCCGAATTACACTCCCTCAGCAAAGCGAGGCCGTAAACACCAAATACAAGTCCCCGTTGCGAGGCCCTCACCCTCAGCTACGAGGCCGAAAAACCCTGCTCCTTGCACCAAACGGCTGCGGAATTACTGCGTTCCCTCAGCTTGGCGAGGCCTAACAAACAATGACATCTTCTGCTGTGCGCTGGCTTGGGGCTTAGCTTTGGCGTGTTTCCCACCAAACTGAACGCGAGGCTGCTGAAACTGGACGTTGCTCATACTTCCACCATTGACAAGGGTTTGCGCTTGGGTAGCCAGCTTGCCTTGAGAAGTCCGCGATTTGCACTCACCCGCCAGGCTTTTATTGCACTTCTGGCTGACCGGTGCATGTGTTCTGTCACACTTTGTGCAAACCCAACGGATTTCCAAATTCACCATATTATGGGAGGGGTGGATACCCCACTCTTCACGCACTCGCGCCTCCGGCTGGTTGACGCAGTACTGCTCCAAGACCACCTCCAAGTTCGTGAGGGTTTGTTGTACATACAACCCGCACAGTTGACATTTCAGTGTTAAATTCCGGGGGTGTTCGCTGCCCTTCTCCCATTGATGCCCGCGCTCCGGGTTTTTAAGCAACTGCCAAAGCCGCTGGCGTTTGTTGAGTTTGGCGCTGCCCTGCTCTTTTTTGCATCCCTCAGCTTTCTGCGAGGCTTCCATCTTCTCTTTGTAATGCGCATGGTCCAGGATGAAGGGGAAGTCTTCTTCTTTGCGCTTCCGCAATATGTGGGCTGCGCGTGCCCCGTACGCCAGGGAAAGTGTGCGCACCACATTGTCCAATTCTTTGACACGCCTCTTGTGCGCTGGGCTGTAAGCAGCCGCCGCCACTGCTCCACATACTTTGTCTGCCATGTCATTCGCTGCACGTCGCCACAACGTACCCGGCCCCATCTTCGCCAGGAATTCCTCTTCAGTTTTGTGGGACGGGACCCATGTTGCCTTGATACGTTTCCTGCCATTCCACACTTTGCTCCATTCCAGGTCATCCTCCGGCGGTTGTGTTTTTTGTAGCACTTGGACTGCCGGCTTGCAATCCATAGTGACATCAATCAGATCCTCCGTGTGCTCCATTAGTCGGAAAAGTGCACGACGCTCCATGTCCACCACCGGCTGCCACGGGTAGACCAGCTCTGTGATCCGCCCGACTTCCGCTTCCACTTTTGCAGCAGCTGCAAAGCATCCTTGGTATCGCAGACCTTAAAAGGTGTTCCGGCGGCTTCGGGTGCCACACCGCCGGCTTTGGCAGGAGTGCCCTTGTCCACAAACACTCCCATGGGTATTTGTGACGCAAGTAGTCCTGGAGCTTGGGTTCTTTGAACCCTTGTTCACGCCAGTAAGGACATTCCTTGAGGACATGCTCCAGAGTTGCCGGCATTTGGCACTTCTTGCACCATCCTGGCTTGGTTTCCGTGATGACGCCCGCGTGCCACACTGACTTTATACCTTCCATAAGGCCTGGGCTTAGGCCTCCCAGCTTCGTCAGCTTGTGATGCGGCGTCCAATCCAGCCCCTCTTGGGCACCAGCGCCACCTGCCTGTCTCGCTATTGCAGCCCGTTTTTGTTCCTCCAGAAATCCCTCAAGCCAGTTGTAGGCGAGGCTACCCATGCGTGGCTGGGTCCAATCAACGTTGAGGACACTTCCTCTCTTCCATTTGCCTGGGTCGCTGGCATCCACCTTCAGATCCATTAAGTACGCCATGGTTGCTGCCATCGGCCCCGTGACCAGTGGCCAGTGGTGTTTGGCCGCACTCAACCTCTTCCAAGTGGTTTTCCAGGCCAATTCAAAGTGGGCTTTTCCGCCACCAATCCATGCACGGAAAACCTTGGCCACCACCTTGAAATGCTGCTTGTGGATTGTGCGCTTTGGATCCTGGCATTTCTTGGCCCCCATGTCCAAGATGGTTTCCAAACTCCCAAGCTTGTATTTACCCAGGTGTTTTCCTACCACGGTTCGGAGCCATTTCATTCTTTTAGGTGATACCCCCACAGAGGGGTGCCCCCATAAAGCAACGGATGTGATCGCTGCCTTGACCACGCGGAGTTTAGTGCTGGGCGGCGGCCCCAGCCTGGACAGTTTGCTATGTCGCGCATGGGCTTTCTTGGCCCGCGTTGCCGACGTCACCAAGCGACGCTTTCGCCCCCCTGTACTGTCGACGCCCAAGTCACGCATCACGTCGTACACCTGTGGCTCATGAGGCAACAGGAGTTCTCGCAGGTGCTTGCTCGCCTGGGTACTGCTGGCCACAAACCCTGTCTTCTTGGATGAAATCGTGAAACCATTAGCGTCCATCCCGTCCTTTAAGCTGCGGTAGACTCGTATCGCACTATCCGCAACTTGTTTGAAGGACTTATGCTGGATGTCAATTGAGACATCATCCAACCAACAATCCACGTTTGCCACATCTCGTCGCCTTTGGATCTTATCTATCACCGGGTGCAATGCCACCTTTGCCAACGATGGCGCAGCTGGACACCCTGCTTGCACGCCATTCGTGGCTCTGATGCCTGCCGACAGCACCCCATCCGCCACCAAATATCTGGCACCCATGTACACTTCCAGTGCCATCTTCAGGATTAGCGGTGGATATTGCAGGGCCGTTGCTGCCGTGATCAATTGCTGAAATTGGATGGTATCGAAAAAGGACTCGAGGTCCACAAAGAGTGACACCACATGCACACCATTTGTCTTCGCCACCTCATTTCGCAGTAGTCTGCCTACAGCCACGTCCAAGCAGCAACTGCCTGGGACTGCCTTGTCATACGTGGCAGTTTGGGCATAGCCTGCCTGCCAAGTACTTACCAGATCCCATCGCAAACGGACCCAGGTCCTGTACAGGATGTGTAGCAAAGCAATTGGTCTTTCCCGGGTCAGATTCTTCGGCAGCATTGCTATAAGGGAGACTGTCATTTGCTGCGGCCATGCTGCCTTGGCCTCACATTCATGGAAGAAGGACACAACGGCTTCAACTGCTTTGTCGTCCATGGCCTGCAAATGATCAATCCTCCAGCCATCCGGCCCCGGGCTCTTTAGTGCCAGTTTTTTGATCCTTGCCTTGACCTCGACAGGGTTTAGCGGCTCCACGCTGGCCGCTTGTTTTTTGGCTGCATCCTCGAGCTCCGTCATGAGCGAGGCCGATTTTGCCAACGGCTGGCCCGTCGTCCACACTGCCGCCCAGTGGTCTCGGCGAATGTGTGGCCGTTCCAGCATGTCATATTCCATGTAGGGTCTTTGTACCACTTGTTCTTCTTTTCGCAAGGCATTGTATAATGGTCGCATGCCCTTTTCCATGGCCTTGCTGAGCCATTGCTTGTACTGGTGGGCTGTCTCTTCCATATCCGCCTTTCTCGCGTAGCATTGCTGTTCGTCGATGCGCTTCAGAACAAGTCTAGCGTCCGTACCCCGGCCCAGGATATTCACGAGCATATCCTCCTGGTTCTGAGCATCACCCTCGTAATACTCGCCTAGCCTACGTTGGACCAGGCGCGCCACCGGATGCGCATCGCCATGATGTCTGCCTTGTTTGACCCATTGTTGGACCCTGTTCCAAAAGGCCGCCCTCTTGCCTGTCCAGACAACGTTCTCCGGGTTGTTGACCACCAACTTCTTCCGGACAATCTCGGATTTAACACCCATGCCTTCGATTCGGCCTGTGATCGACCTCTCCACCCCGGCACTCAGGTGAGCGAATGTCTCACTGAGCTCATCTTCCATCTTGGGTTCATCCAGGATGTTGATGCTCTGTGTGTTTTGAACTGGTTCGTATTCCGCAGTCTCCGTCACCAATGCTCCCGCCTTCTTCATCTGGGGAACATCAGGGCTACTGCACGGTTGGGCTACCCTCCAATGCATCGCAGCATGAGGCCGAAAAGGGGTTTCCCAATCCGTTTTCACTTGCAGGATGGGCACCAAGCATTTCGCAACCAGCCCGTAATCAATTTCGTCCGATCCTTGGGCCGTTGGTTCCCCCACTCCTACAAATGCACCACCAACTTCTGTCGCCATAGTTGTGCCCCTCATGGTATCCTGGGCTTCATTCCAATCTCCCAGCACCATATATGGCACTTTGCAGCCCTTGAGAAAGGCTATCAGTCTCGCCAGTACTTGGATATTGTTTGGAGCCTGGAATCCGACCCCGCTCTCCAAATACAGACTGACGATGATCAAATCCCAGCCTTTGTTTCTCATGGCACATGCCAGGAAGCCCGCCGGTCCTGACCCATACTCGGTAAGGTATCGCAGATTCCTATGTCGGGGTGCAACCACTGCCAGGCCTCCTTGTACACCCTTAATTTTTGTACTGCCTGGCATGCCAATGAAGGTGTATCCCATATCTTGGCAATGGCTCATGGCTTGCTGGATACCCTCCGTCTTGAGGTGGGTTTCCTGCAGCACCACCAGGTCCGGTCCTAGTTCATGTATCCATGCCGCAATGGGTTTCCTCCAGCTGGTGATGTTAGCCGCTGTGATTTTGATGCATTCGGCCTTATCATCTTGGCGATACCCACTTGCCACATCTGCCAAGATCCATTTGGCATATTGTGCGTCATGCTCCACAAAGGAACGAAGCACTTCGTGGCATGCTCGTTGTTGTAGCGGGTTGAGTTCCTGCTCTTCCAGCTTCTCAATGGCTTCGAGTGCAGCAGCCTCACTGGAAGCATCATATCTACCCACCACTTGGCATAGCGTTTGCCACTCCTTTGGCAGATCTTTTGGTGGTTTCGTGGGTTTTGCTTTCCGCTTCTTGGGCTTTTGTTTGCCTCTGCGACCCTCAGCACACGGCGAGGCCGAGAATCGTGTTTCCTCAGCTTCCTGCGAGGCCTTCATGTTCTCCCCTCTAACCGCTGCATGGTCTCTCATCTGTATTTGGCTTCCCTCAGCTTCTCGCGAGGCCGAATGCTCACATTCCTCCTCGATGTCTTCCCTTGTTATATGGAAGTATCTGGGCCCTGTGACCGCCCAACTGCTGTCCACAGCTCGGACAGGCTCCGGACCCCTCTTAACTGGACTCCAGCTCTCTTGGCTGTCTTCCACTGTGCTGTTTGTACTAGGCACATGGGTACTAGACACAGCTTGACTGCCTTCCCCATGCGCCTGTGGCCATACAATGTCCCCGTGACACTGCTTCCGGCCACCACCAAAAGTGTAAACAGAGTCTCCCCATTGAGACTCCTGAGACTGTCTTGCTTGCTTCTTTTGGCTGTTCGGACCAGGAGCGACTCTGAGGTGTCGGCCCCTCCACTCCTGTCCCAGCCGAGGCTTCATTCGCCATGGGCACGCGCCGGCGAGCGTTCGCGCCCCGTCGGCGTTGCCCTGACTGACACATCTCGAGACATGCGCATCGGCCCATACATGCCAAGTTCGGTTGGCATGCCTGGCTCTCGTGGGCCCAAGACTCCAGTCCAGTCTGTCTCCACGACCTTGACTGCCATCCTTGTTTTGAGCGCTTCCGCTTGCTCGTCGGTCAGGATGATCCCTTCCTTTTCCAGGTAGGATGCGACGTCCTTGTACGGCGAGTCCTCCTCATCTTTCACACAGGCTTGTACCTTCCTCTGTGCTTCCGCAACCTCAAGCTCCGTGGTCTGGATGGCCTGGCTGACTTGCGCAAGCTGCTTCATGGCCTGCTCGAACTCGCTCTTGATCTTTTCCGTTTTGTCTTGAAGCCGGACCTTTTTCTCAATGAGTGATCTCAACTTGTTTGTCGTCCTTCTGTATGTACCAACATGGCGGCTGAGCTCCTGCTTTGGCGTCTCATCCTCAGGCTTGTAATCCCCTGGCGGGGGAATACCCGCTGCCCTGAGCAGCCTTTGCACTGCGGGCTCAGCTCCCTGCCACACCGTTTCAATGGCCTCGTGGTACTCCTTTTGCGTCATGCTTTCGGTTTGCGATCCACTGCCCGGTAGTCCCGGGGGCCAATTGGGCCCCGGCTCCATCGTCCGCGGCTTCCATCCTGCTTCTTCGATGGCCTTCTTTGCCTCCATAGAAAGCGTACCCCACGCCTTCGTGAGAGCTTGGTCGGCCGTCCCTTCTTTGTTCTTGGCCTGTCTTGTCCACCATGTAGCGTCGTCCTTTGGCCATTGCCACTTCTTACGCTGGCTTGACCATGCTCGCTCACGGTAGGTGGCCTTTTTCCACGCCTTTCCGCAATGCCAGCAGTTCGGGTTGTTGTTCAAGTCTTCATTCCAGACCCAACCCACCTCACAGTGGGCACACACAGTACAATGCTTCCCCATGACTGCTGCAGCCTGATGCCAGTCCCACCAGCACCTCAGCAATGCGAGGCTTAAGATCCCCTCAACCGTAGTGAGGCCGAACTTTATGTGTCCTCAGCCGGAGCGAGGCCGAACTAGCCCCTCCCTCTGCCGAAGCGAGGCCGAAAACACACCCTCTGCCGAAGCGAGGCTGAAAAGTTCCCTCAGCACTTGGCGAGGCCGTACTCAGGCAGCTATGTTGCTGGCAGCCGACTACCAAGCAAACACAGGGTTTCGGTTTGAGTCCTGTTGGAGCCCACCCTTAGGTACAGTCTCCAGGCAACAGCACTCCCTACCTGAGCACCCCACCGGGGTTGAGCCGAAACTTGAGCCAGACAGGAACTTTCGTCTGCACGCTGCGAGGCGTAGCCACCCGAAGGGGCTATGGGTTCAAGTGAAACAAAACTTACTAAAACTGTGGGGTGAAACTGCCGGTAAGTTCCCCCTCTCATTCCTTGTCCTCGGTTTTGACGTACCGCTACCCTCAACCGAAGTGAGGCCGGAATGTCCTTTTGACCAAGTCGTTGCCATTGGCTTGAAGACTTTGGCCAAGGCAAATTGCCTGTATGCTTGCACATTCTCTGTGTTGTCTATTCGGGAGGCGATCCATGCCCTCGTTCGTGGAGGCCGCTATCCCTCACCGAATGGAGGTCATTCCTTTAGACCCAGATGCTCGTTCTACGAGCCTCATTGCATGTCCTGAGTGCTTCCATCCACCCCTCAACCGTAGTGAGGCCGGACATGTCTTCAAACCAGGTCATGGCCCAAGGCTTCATGGACTCTGGTTACGGTGGCTGCCTCTTGCAAGCACAGGGCATACTTCCTGTGGCTTTGGCCGGGAGGTGATCCATGCCCTCCGATTCTCAGAGGCCGCTATCCCTCTACCGGCGGGGTGGTCAATCCCCATACATAGACCGTTCCATATTGATTGAGGCCATTCTGCACTTTCTCGTCATCTCACCTTGACGGATCCATGCCCTCGATTCACACATCTCCAACACGAGCCAAGCAGGAGGAACAGGTGAAGTACCTGCCCAAACATACCCCGTTTTAGGCTGGAGGACACTAAGCGACCGAAATCGCCGCTACGCACCGGTGACCCCACGCCACACACCTTCAACAGGTGGCCGGTACAGGCGCCTGACAGGGGGCCGGGCAAGGTGCCGACAGCCAGGTCAAACCCACCCTGCCTGTGAGGATATTATGTACGAGGCCGCTATCCATTGTGAGACTTGACATTCTCATCCAGCCGTAGCCATTGTTCCAAAGACAGTCGGCTGGCTCTCTTGTTTGCCACCAAAACTCCATACTCTCACTTGGGAGTCGATTTCCCTCAACCGAAGTGAGGCCCACTCTGCGACCACGGTTTAGCTGCATGCTTGGTCCTTGTGGGCATTTCTGAAAGCAGTGACAACGAATCCTCCACGGAGTACGTCCCGGCTAATCCAGGGTTCTCAGCAGCTCCGGTGTTCTCGCACTTACTAACCGTGCCTTGCTGTTCTCCCCAGAATCGCCCTGGCTTTCTCGCACTTACTTACCAGTCGACGTATTCCTCACCACAAAGTTCACTGCCATTGGGACTCGAGGCTTTTCCAGTGCAATGCTGGTACCTGCCCTTTGCTGGCCTCCATGCCTGGCCAGTGTCCCTCATCCATATTCTGGAGTTTGCTCTTTATAGCTCACATTCCCTCAGACCAAGTCGAGGCCGAATGTTGCTTTGTTTGATTGAGCTCTGCAGGGCTGCGGTTGTACCTATCACTTGCTCCGACACACCGGCACCGCGGAGTCTATGCTTCAAGCTGCTTTACCGCTTTGCGCCCAGTAGCATCAGCCGTCCAAGCTGCATGCAGTGCTTCCAGAGTCTCCAATTACCTCGCTTGAGGTGTTGCGTTCTCAGCTAGGCCCTCTCTCAGTTGCAACCCTCAGCACTCGCGAGGCCGAACTTTGCCCTCCGCATGCATTGCTGTTGAGGCACTTGTTGTGGCATCAGCCTCCGTAAGTTTGGCAATCCCCACTCAGCACTGGATGTTCTGTTCGAGGCACATTCCCTCAACGCATGCGAGGCCGCAAAGTGAAACACGTGAGGTATGAAAGAAAGCTACTCCAGGTTCGTCCGCAGCTCCGGCTTTCTCGCACTTACTAACCGTGCCTTGCAGTCTCCCCCAAAGTAGCGTCACCCTGGCTTTCTCGCTCTTACTCACCAGTTGACCAATAATGCATCTCACGCGGTTGCTTCATGGTAAAACTGCAGCTCGAGGTCCCGGTGTTCTCGCTCTTACTAACCCGGACCGACACTGCAGAGAAGCATTACTGTTGTTCCCTCAGCGGAGGCGAGGCCGAACAACCATTCCGCTGCATCAGCGCAGCCAGGCCCTCAGCTCCTCACTGAGCCAGGGCTATCTCTAGACAGAGTTCCCTTGCTGGCAAGCCCTCTATCTCTATGTGACCCCCGCGGTGCCACGTATTAGCAGCTGCTCCGCGTGTCTTAGGACCACAGTTTCATTCGGATTTGTTTTGTAGGCCTTCCAGTGCTTGAGGCCGAGACCAAACACCACATCTCACGTCACACGGCGAGACAATTTGGCTCCAACATCCGAAGATAGTAACACATACTCTGCGTGGCGTCCGCGTGAGCTAGCCTGTCCTAGAGTTTAGGAGTTCGGCTCCTTTCATCGCTTGTCTTACCACAGGTCTCTTTCGGTGGCCCGTACTCAGCAGCCAGCACATGTACCATCCTCAGACGCCAGAGCCGCCTTGCCCCAGCAAGTGCCCATACAAACCACTCACCAGACAGTGAGAGCCAACATCTTCAAACAACCTCCAGCGGCCGTGCCGCGAGGACCTAAACATCTGCAAGGTTCCGCCTTGTCTGTGTGCACGGACAGACCCCAGCCCTTGCAGGAGACGTGGATGTAAACAAAAGCAGGCCTGCCATGTCCAGCAGGCTGATTACCATTGGTTGCCTTCAGATGGGAAAAGCGCGAAGATCGGGTAACCTCCATCTGAATCCTTTCCGGCCAATACCAACCCTTACAAACCCTCAGCACGGAGCGAGGCCGAAGGAGGCTTCTTGGACTATTGGTTTTCCGGGGAGCAGCCACCAACAGCTGCTCTTCAACTTGCACTGCGCCGCACCACAGTCCTACTGCAAGTTCTTTGGCAACGGTTTCTCAGTAGCACCAGTCAATGAGCTTTACGACACTGATGCCTCTGGTTATTTGTGTCCAGGCAGATCCACCAGGGTTGGGCCAAATCTTTTCTACCTGATTCTACCTGCGAAGAATATCCTGTTGTGCTCAGCTTGCAGATCCCCGAAAACCAGCAAACTCGGGCTCAAGCACACCGCTATTGTTCGGGACACTCCTGTCAACAACTGCAAGGATGCCGCTTGCAGTGCGACGTTGGCCTGCACTGTCTGCAGCGTGCCTGGCCGTTTTCCCCCGTGTTTCGGTCTCACCTTCGTTTTCCACTCAAGTGAGCGAGGAACCCAAACTCACCTTCAGCACAGCCCTCAATCCAAATGAGGGTCGGTGGGTTTTGCTCACCCAGAGACAGCAGGAATCTCTGGTGAGCAACAGGCTAGCGTCACCCCTCAAGCAAAGCGAGGCTGCAACTCTCACTGTGACCCAGAGCAGACTGTAGGTCACAAGGTTCCCTCAGCAACGCGAGGACGAAAAGCTTCCCTCCAGCGAAGCGAGGCCGAAAACTGTGCACTCACGCCCTTCGTCGACGGCAGCAGTTGGCGGGCCGCCGCTCTATGACAGCTTAGCCGGTCAGCCGGCCTACGAGCAAACACAGTTTTGCCAGGGCCTCAAAACGGAACCTACCCTTAGTTACAAGCCCCAGGGCCAGCCACAACGGCACTAAAGACGCTCTCTACCTGAGCACCCCACCGGGGTTGAGCCGAAACCTTGAGCCAGGGAATTTTACGTCTGCACGCTGCGAGGCGTAGCCACCCGAAGGGGCCGTTGGTCAAGGTGAAACTAAACTAAAAATTACCTCGCTTGAGGTGTTGCGTTCTCAGCTAGGCCCTCTCTCAGCTGCAACCCTCAGCACTCGCGAGGCCGAACTTTGCCCTCCGCATGCATTGCTGTTGAGGCACTTGTTGTGGCATCAGCCTCCGTAAGTTTGGCAATCCCCACTCAGCACTGGATGTTCTGTTCGAGGCATATTTCCTCAGCGCATGCGAGGCCGCAAAGTGAAACACGTGAGGTATGAAAAACTGCTACTCCAGGTTCGTCCGCAGCTCCGGCTTTCTCGCACTTACTAACCGTGCCTTGCAGCCTCCCCCAAAGTAGCGTCACCCTGGCTTTCTCGCTCTTCCTCACCAGTTGACCAATAATGCATCTCACGCGGTTGCTTCATGGTAAAACTGCAGCTCGAGGTCCCGGCGTTCTCGCTCTTACTAACCCGGACCGACACTGCAGAGAAGCATTGACTGTTGTTCCCTCAGCGGAGGCGAGGCCGAACAACCATTCCGCTGCATCAGCGCAGCCAGGCCCTCAGCTCCTCACTGAGCCAGGGCTCTCTTTAGACAGAGTTCCCCTGCTGGCAAGCCCTCTATCTCTATGTGACCCCCGCGGTGCCACGTATAAGCAGCTGCACCGCGTGTCTTAGGACCACAGTTTTCATTCGGATTTGTTGTTGTAGGCCTTCCAGTGCTTGAGGCCGAATCCAAACACCACATCTCACGTCACAAGGCTGGCAATTTGGCTCCAACATCTGAAGAT